CTGAACTGAGTCAGGAAGTAATCCTTCCTGCCAGTTCTGAGAAGGATTCACATAAGTAAAACTTGGACCTCAAGTTCCATCAAGCAGTGCAAGTCAGTCTCACATAAGTAGAACTTGTACCTCTAGTTTAGTCGAGCAGTGCACGACTAGTTCCCTGGACACCACTGAGCTTCACACCCTCTTTTGCTCCCATTTCTGGAGCCTTGGAAAGGCCTGGCTCTGATGAAGTTGATGAGAATCAACGCATAGCCAGGACTTCCGTGCAGATAGCAGTAGAGCGGTTTTCACTCTTGCACGTTGATGCAGAAATTAGTCATGCTAACGCGTGAAGCTACTCTTTTCACTTACACAGCGTATCTGCCACGTGTCCATCTCAGGGGCTCTAAGCAGGAGCCCTAGGCACTTCCTCCTTCCCAAGCTGGAAGTACTACTTATCTTTTTTGGCTCATGCGGTCCTTCACTTAAGGGAGGCAGGTTGTTGGAGCACAGATGGCTAAGGGTAGGGCTTAAAAGTTAGGCTGAATGGGAAAGCGTGATCTTCAGCAAGTGACACAGCTCTTGTCTGCTCAGGTTCTTCATTTGTAAAATGGATATAATTAGGGCCAGCAGATGGTGTAGTGGTTAAGGCACTGGACTCCCAATGGTCAATCGCTGTTTACGTCCCAAACCCAGAAGCTTCAAACTCATGCTGGGTGCTGGGTGCTGGGTGTGTCCAAAGTTTTGCGAGGAGGATGGAGGAGAGAGTTACAGCATGGCCATGCCCGCTGAGGGTGATTTCTCGCTTTCTCTCTCTGTCTCTGGAGATAGGAATCTGGAATTTTGGAGTAGGTGCTGTTGTAAGGAGCACAAAAACACCAAGGCTGCTTATATAGGACTTTACTTTTTCCTGAGTTTATGTAGTGGATTAATCTGTTGGAAGATAGTGTATTTCATTAGAATATTTCTAGCTTTATTTCATTGCTTCTGAACAAAGTTTTTTTGTTTGTTTGTTTGTTTGTTTTACTTTTATAATATAGGTTACATTTTTAGGTTCTAAAAGTTGTCTTTTTTTTTTTTTTGGTTTAATTATGCCTTACTGAGGTCTCAACCTAATATTAGATTTATAACAAGATAAGATGCAAACCTTCATGAACTTTTTCTGTTCCATGATGTATTGAGTATGTCTACAGTACTGATTTTACTAAAATTTAGAATATCTAAATCCTAGCATTCCTGAGGAATCTTTTTTATTTTATTTTTTTTATGTACTGATAGTTATGAGTCTGGGCCTGGGAGTTACACTGCTTGCATTTGAATCAGTTCTGCCTTTTCCAGCAGGAGTCTTTTGGCCCATTCCTTAACTATTCTGACCCATTTTCTCATCTGTGAAATGGAATTACCAGAAGAATCGGCTTCATTGGCTGTTGAGAGGATTAAGCGAATCAGTGTGTAGAAGGGGTTTAGCATAGAGCTGGGCATAGACAAGTCCTTAATAGGTGTTGGTCCTCTTCCTCCTCAGGACTTATTCCAGTCTCCCACTGACCCATTGTATACTGTGTGTCATGTCGGTCCTCATCTAGTCGAATCTATCCCATCGTACTGATCTGAATACCATACAGGGTATGAGAGCCCTTTCCTGAGTGCTTTTTTTTTTTTTTTTTTTTTTAAGAAT